GTGGTATTTTTCCTTCATTGACTGGCTTATTTCACTTAGCATAATGCTCTCCAGTTCCATCCATGCCATTGCAAATGGTAAGAGTTCCTTCCTTTTTAGAGCAGCATAGTATTCCATCGTGTAGATGTACCACAGTTTTCTAATCCATTCATCTACTGATGTGTTTCCCCATCTTTTAAAAATTTTAAATTTATTGATTTTAGAGAGGGAGAGAGAGAAACATTGATTGGCTATCTCTTGCCCTTCAATGCCCCTACTGGGCATTGAGCCTGCAAACCCGGGAATGTGCCCTGACCAGGAATCGAACCAGCAACCTCTCAGTACATGGGAGGACACTCAACCAACTGAGCCACAGGGGCCAGGGCATGGATGCCCATCTTTTATGTCAGATGTGTATTAATGAGTATTTTTTTCCCGGTCTATAACACACATATTCCTTTTGTTAGTGGTATCTTTTGATGCCCAAAAGTTTTAAAATTTGACAAGTCCAATTGAACCATTTTGTTTTCTATATTTAGTGCTTTCTGGTTCAGGGTGCTGTCTAAGAAATCTTTTCTTACCCCAAAGTCAGGAAGATAGTTTGGTTTTTATGTTTGGGTCTATGATCCATCTCAAATTAATTATTGTGTATGGTGTGAGGTAGGTCTTCCTTTTATTTTTTTCCATATTTATAGTTGGTATTCTCACACCATTAGTTGAAAATACTTTCTTTTCACCTATTGCACAGAATTTAAAATAAAAACAAACAAAACCTGTTAGCCAAAGAAGTACAAAAGTGTTTTTTCCTATGGGCCATAAACAGACCCTCTGGGCCTCTTAGACTACCCTCTACCTATAGTCTTGGTCTTCCAATCCTTTCTAAGGTAGGTCTTCCACAGTTATCCTGAGACTCTCAGAAGTTATTCATAAGGTTGAGGATTTCTAAGGCTACAACTCTTTACAGAGTCTGTAGGTATGTCACAGAGCTGCTAGCCATGTGTGGCTGTCTAAAGTAAAACCAAATAAAAATTAAAAATTTAGCTTCTGGATCACAATCTCCAGATTTCAAGTGTTCAGTGTCCGTATGGCTATTGGCTACCCTGTTAACCAGTGCAGATACAATATTTCCATTTTTTTCACAAGTGTCACACAGCACTAGCCTATCTATAATGATAAAAGCATAATATGCTAATTAGACCAGATGTCCTTCCAGACAACCTTCCGCACGAAGCCAGGGGTGTGAGGGAAGCCCAAGTCCCAGGTGCCAGAGAGAAGGCGCCTGCCCCCGGGGAAGAAAGGCCTACTCTTGCATGAATTTCATGCATTGGGCTTCTAGTAGAATAAGAAAGAAGACAGGCCTTGTATACAGTTTGTAGGGTGTGAATGAAACTTATGTAGTTTTGATAACTGTCATTCAGCATCTGCCTTTCTCTCCTTGGTTCTTTTCTTCCATTCGTGCTTCTATTTCTATTCCAAGATGCATTGTCCCTGCCAATCCTTTTTTCTGCCTAAAAATACAGGAGCTTACATATTTGTCCTCTCCTAGCTAGAAGAAAGAATTCTGCTGGCTGTCCACAGAATCATTCTTCCCCGGAGCCCACCTAATTCTGACCTATTTTACTTCTCCAGTGTTTGAACATCTTCCAATTGCCTCTGGATGCCTGGGCATCCCCCTCAAGGCATAGCCCAGAGATAAATATGTTGTCTTTTCTATCCTGATTTAAAATGACATTTCTCCTTAGCATTTCTACCTTAAATACTAAGCTTGCAAAGAGTAATAGGTTATGACTGATAGCCCTGCCTGCTATGAACATTTCTGTCTCGTAGTGGACTTCGTTGCTATTTCATGAGCAGCCACATAGGAATTTGTGTAGTTTCCTCTCATCGTTTGCTGGGTGTGAGCTGAATCTGCCTTTGCTATCTTTCAGTGCGGGGATTTTGCTGTCCTGGTGGATCTTCACATCTCACCGCAAGGATCAAACAAAGACACCAGCTGGTTTTCTGAACAGAACAAAGAGGTACCACAAGACTTTTTACTATCTAAATACAAGCCATTGCTAGGAGAAATATTAGCCCTCTTAAGCTTTCATTTTAATTGGTGGACAAGAATATTGAGTGAGATTTTATCCTTGAAAAATAGGTGTTATCTTCCCAATGGCAGACATATGCTTGCTTTTTTATTTTCCTTCAGACACTGACAGGTTCATACATTTCGTACATTACTCTGTCATTTAAACCAGAAAGTTCCTACCTCTTTGTTTTGAGAGCACAGGTACTCAGTATTACAAGAAGAAGTTAAAGTGACTATTCCAGGTAAGCAGGGATTTTAATCTGATTGGTTGTGCAGGATGGACCGAGCACCTGGAGCAGGTGTGGGGGCTCACACAAGGCTGATCTGTCACACCTGTGTGAAGTCCCAGTCTTGTGCACTTTTATCTTCCACTATCCTTTTATTAGCATGAGCCTGTGACAACAAGTGCAGAGATGTTTAACAGCGTTCCTTCTCTCACCACACTCAGTCACTAAGGGATGGTGAGGCAGTACAGCGAATAGCTGTTTGACTGGGAGCATGATATCTGACCTCCCTGGCCTCGGCCTCCTCATCTGCAATGAGAGGGTTCCACAGAGCTGTCTGAGCCACTCCTGGCTCTGTATCTGCTCCCCACCCGAGTGCTGCCTTGGAAGAGGGTCAGAAGGTGCATCAACTCCCATCCCATGCTGTGCTTCCTTCTTCAGGTCCCTGCTTACTGAGCACAGACAGCGAAGCAATCAATGGCCTTTAAGTAACTTTCAAAATATTATACACTTTGTGTGTCTGTGGTATTCATTTGTCACAAAGCTTCTTAGAGCTAAAAATAAAACTAAGTTTTATTAAAAGATGGTGCCTAGAGAAGACACTAGTGCTAATGACGTACACACACACATACACACACACACCCCTTTACTGTGATAACTTTTCAGTCAGCTTTTGGAGGTCACTAGGGAAAAAAAAATCTCCCTATAAAAACATTTTCAATCAAAAGGCAATAAAATTATTAGGGGACTTTGCTGTCATAATTTCATAATATGTAGTGGTCTGAAACTGGGAGAAGGAAGGCACAAGATCCTTTATGATGGGATTTACCCTTCAGGTAAATAACTGTGCTTTGTTCTCATCAAGACTTAATATTTAGTAGGCCAGCATCTCCTACTACAGCTCACCTTCATATAATTCCAAGCTTTGGCTTACCAACACACATCCCCATGATTCAATTCAAAACAGTTCATTCCCCAAAGCGACTGAGGGGACCTCCCCCAAAAGGCTTCTGACTTGACTTATATTAACAGCACTCTAGAATCCATATTTCCCTCTATAATTCTCTCAACTTTACCACCTTAGCCTTAGAGATTTCTGTTGATATTCAGTCAGTTGTGCCAAGAGTCAGTTTATTTGGAAGGCTTTAAAACAAAACTGTGGGTATGTGAATCACCTCCTAGCCAAAGCGTGAGGCTAGATTTTTCCAGGGTGCCACACAAGCTGTGCCACTCCACCTAGTACCTACATCTGACTTAGCAAAGATGCTCAGTGCGCGATCGGACCTGCAGACCTCTCTGCAGTGGCAGCTGCAAGAGAGCGAGTCATGCCAAAAAGCTGGGCTTTGCTCCCAAAGCAAATTTAAATTTCTTTAATGTATGTCCACTAACATTAAAAAATTGCTCTTGGACAACTGTGTGTGTGTAAGAGAGAGAGAGAGAGAGAGAGAGAGAGAGAGAGAGAGAGAGAGAGAGAAAGAGAGAGAGAGATGTGGGTGGTAGGGAGAAAAGCTAGTCAAGAAACGTACTATATGGCTTCATCCTGTGCTCAGTGTCTCAGTGCTTTCATTTTTTCATCATTAGATCATCTATCTCATGCTTGAGATTTCATGAGCAATCAATTTGATTGCATTTTAATAGCCACTTTATATAGTAAAAGTCTTAAGAATATGCAGTTCCTTTTCAGAAAAAGGAGCTAATTACATGTATTAAACATATGTTTATTTAGAGTCCAGCACAAGTAGTCTGTGTACCCAAACAGTTGAACTCAAACTGTTCTATGTGCAAACTTAAAAAATCAAACATGAGCCCCTGTTAGCCTAGAGATTCTGTATGTATCTCTCTTGCTCATTGATTTTTAACTTGGTCTTCTCATCTGCCCCTCCAGTTTCACTGGGAATTTGTCTTCTCTTGCACTGCTCTGGTTCTGAAGAGAATGCTTTGCTAAGTGTGGTGTGGTCAGTTACTAGGGTATCTTGACTACATTGCACGTGGTCTACCTTCCGTTTGTCAAACCTGACTCATCGAAGGAAAGCCCCGTAACTATAGGGAGAAAGTTTGTGTGGATGGCCTTTGCTTTAGTTTTGTCATGCTATTTTTAGTTCTAGCCTTATAGGGCATTTATGGCCAAATTTTAACAATTCTTATTTCCATGTATGTCTTTGACATATTTTCAGGCTCAGTCATTGTTGAACCCTGCATGTGAAGCAAAATTCTTTAATTGTTAAAACAACAGTATGAGGCAAGGCACCCTTTCTGTTGTGTGAACAATGCCAAGACACTCAACTGTAAACGGATATTTCTGTATTCCACAAGGCACTGCATCTTTGGGCTGCAAAATGAGAGCAGAAGAGAGGGGACCAGTTTTGTATATTACCTAAAAACTCACATTTGTGAGTTAAATCTAGTGTTTTCTATACTGTTTGAGAAGTACATGTGTTTACAATAAAAGTCAAGTTTGGCTCTCATTGCCCTCTGAAGCAACTTAAAACTTTGTTCTTGTTTTAATTTATAAAGATTCTAAGAGATTAATCTGAGATGGCATTGCAAGAAACCAGTGGAACAGGTTTGAGGTGACCTCGGCAACTCTGAGCCTTCTTCAGAGTCTTTGGGAACTGAACCAGAATTATCAGTCCTTATGCATCATGTCTGAATCTAAGAACTTTAGATTAGTGTGCATTTTTTCCTTTTCCTACATTAAATTATACCTTTCTGCTAGTATGGCTAATGTGGACAGTTTCTTCCCAGTGCATGTTTGTACTTTTAAAGTTTATTTTTCTTTTCATAAATAACACTAGAGGCCCGGTACATGAAATTCGTGTACTCGGCAGGGGGTGGGGTGGTGGTGGTTCTTCAGCCCAGCCTTCGGCCTCTCGCAGTCCGGGAGCCCTTGGGGGATGTCCAACTAACGGCTTAGCGCTGCTGCAGAGCCCAGCTTCTGGCTGAGTGGTGCTCCCCCTGTGTTGCGCGCTGACCACCAGGGGGCAGCTCCTGCGTTGAGCGTCTGCCCCCTGGTGGTCAGCCCCCTGGTGGTCAGTGTGCATCATAGTGACCAGTCATTCCGCCGTTTGGTCAATTTGCATATTAGCCTTTTATTATATAGGACTGATACATAAAAACAATAGACAGCTGTAGAAATTTGCTGTGGTATGGTATATTGACATTGAATTAAAACCATGAGCTTCTGTTATCTAATAAATATTAATCTACTTTAGGGAAATATGAAAAGTTAAATTATTTTAATCACTAATAGGTGAATATAGTGCAAATGGGTATATACAGTATCATCAACAAGAGTATGGGAAAGAATCAGATTACTGATTTCCAGTTTGCTATTCAATTCACTACTCAATGCTTTTCCCTTTTTTGGTAGATTTATAAACCTGAGGCCAGAAACTAATGAATGGCAGTGTTTAGATTTTAAGTTTTAGAACCACATTTGAAAAATGGGAAATTTTTGTGTAAAATAGAAGTTTCTGGTTCCTCTTGAACAAATTGGAGGATCTGGTGATACTGTGCCTTGTATGTATCCCCACATTAAGCTCTGGGGCTGTCCCGTTGAGTGGGTTGGTGTCAGGGTTCCCTCTAAATATTCCCTGGCTCCTTCCCTCGTCCACAGTCTTCTGTCTGGCCATTGTGAGCGCTTGCTTGGGGCTCTCAATGTCTCAATAGAACTGTTTGATATTTGCATGAATATAGTCTTCACCTCACTGATTTCATCACTTTGGCACTATAATTTTTTAAAAATTATTTTAATTGATTTTAGAGAAGGAACAAGGGAAAGAAAGATAAACATCAGTGTGAGAGATATATCAATTGGCTGCCTCCCTTGTGTGCCCTGAATTCACAAGATCCATCCCTTGTCCTTAAAAGGTAGGCACAGAGCACTTTAATTTTGGGTAAAATGGGGATCGAATGCACAACCATTAAGTACACTCCAACCAACGTAGCCAAACCAATCAGGGCTGGCACCCTAATTTTTACATTGGGGTGTTTTTATCTTCCTTTTAGAAATGTGAAACTAAGCAAAGAAAAATTAAATGAATTTCTCAGATAACAAAGTGGGCCCACAAACCTCAGTAGCAAATTTGCATCTCCAGTATTATCTATAAGTACATAAAACATTCTTCTCAGCATTCATAGCTAATTAAACAAGCAAACAAAGTGAAATGTTCACTGTTAACTTTTTAATGTGCATGATGTTGACTTTTTTTTGCATTGTATTAAATCAGAAAGTTATCGCTAATTTTTTAATTTACTATAGGAAATTTGTTTACTGTTAAAAGAAACCATTAATTCAAGAGTTAAGGAGTACTTGGAAGTTCGTAAACAGCACAGGCCGTCAAATGCAGAATTCACAAGATCCAGTCCCTTGTCCTTAAAAGGTAGGCACAGAGCACTTTAATTTTGGATAAAATGTCTGCTTTGTAGAAATGACAATTACGTTTGACTCTGACTGTCACGTTAGTAAAGTGATACATTTAAAATATGTGTTCTAGTGAAGATGCTTTGTTTGGGTAAAGAAAATTAGCCAAAAAGCCCTGAAGGGTTTTTAATGGTAGGCAAAATATATGAAAATAGAAAATAAAACATTCCCAGGGAAACTGTAAGTTTCTAAAAGGGTTTTTTTAGAAGTAATCTTATAAATGGATTTACATTAAAACTGACTTGATTTGGAGCTTTGTGCTTTTTAAAATGTTTTCATATATGTCACCCGATTTCAGAGGTTCTCAACTAGGGTGAATTTTGCTTCAGGGGACATTTGGTAATGTCTGTAGAAAGTTTTAGTTGTCGTAACTGGGTGGGGGCAGTGGCCTGGGAACTACTGGCATCTAGTGGGTAGAAGCTAGGGATGCCACTAAATATCCTATAATGCATGGAACATTCCTCCCCTCCCTGCAACACACACACACACAGCAAGGCCTTATGTGGCCCAGAACGTCAAGGGCACTAAGGTTGAAATATCATTACCCTGTTTCCCAATAACACTTTGAGACTGGTAATGTCTGAGTTATAGATGAAAAGGCTGAAGGACTGCAAGATGAAGGGGCTTGCCCAAATAAGAGATCTTGTTATTGAGGGCAGATTATCTTGTATATTTGGCACTTCCATCCTCCTTTCTCCTCCCAGTACATAGCCCAGAGTCTGATACATAGATTCAGTAGCATGATGAATGATAGAGTATTCCGGTGGCAAATGGTAAAACCTGTCCTCAGACCCAGCTCTTCTGACTCCCAGCCCACTTCTTTCTGGCCTGTCGTTGTTGTGTTTTTAAGTTTTTACTAAGTCAGCATTTCATAGCACTCTTTCTGGTACAAATACAGTCAGAGGACAGTGCTGGACTACTGTGAACTGGATTATGCTACTGCACACATCTCTTTAGGAAAGGAATGGTGTTACCCCCCGTCGAAGGGATACTTGATCTTAAGTGTTTACCTGGCACAGCTCATAAGCAGTCAGACATTAAGTTTACCCAAACAGTATTGTTTAGATGGTACTTTCTGGTTTGTCGCTTAGAAGTAGTAGAAATCTTGAAAAAAGCCATAGGAGCTTGCAATCTTTGTAGCATTCTTTGCTCTGGGCAGATGTGCTAGTCTCGCTTGCTAACTGATACAAAAAGAAAAGGGACAGGGTGGGTTTCAGGACATCCATCCCTGGTGTGGCAGTGGCTTGGTCTGCCACCCATCCTTCCTCTCCTGATGAGTGAAGAAAACTAAATACATAGTTTCCCAGCCTCCCTCACACATAGTGAACACGGCTCTAGCCCCAAGATGAAAATGAAAACTTTTTGGGCTCATGCGGGCAAGAAGTTTGTTTTTAAACAGAAAAGTGATTTCACTGTACAAACAGTATTGTAACCTATTTTTCCACTTTCATAATAAAGAAGTCCTTTAAGACATGTACATCGCCATTTTTAAAAACTTTGTTTTATTATGGTAAACTATACATAGCATAAAACTTATTGTTTTAACTATTTTCAAGTATATACAATACCAGTGTTTAGTGTGTTCACATTGTTGTGCAACCATAACCACCGTCCATCTCTAGAACTTTCTCATCATTCTAAACTGAAACTCTTTACCCATTAAATAATAATTACTCATTACTCCTTTCTCCAGTCCCTGGCAGCCACTATTCTACTAATATATATATTTGGCAACCACTAGTAAATAAATATATGTTTAATATATAAATATACAATCATGTACCACATAATGACATTTTGATCAATGGTGGGCCACATATCTGATGATGGTCCCATAAGATTATAATGGCGCTGAAAAATTCCTGTTGCCTGGTGATATCATAGCCACTAACCTCTGAGCGTAACACATTACTCACTTGTTTGTAGTGATGGTGGTGTAAACAAACCTACTGTGCTGCCAGTCATATAACGGTAAAGCACATGTAGTTATAGTATTAGGCTATACCATGTAGGTTTGTATAAGTACACCATGGTGTTCACACAATGACAGCATCACCTAAGGACACATTTCTCAAAATGTATCCTTGTCATTAGGCATTGCATGACTGTATATAATAATATACATCACATTTTGTTTATCTGTTCATTTGTCAGTGCAGTAGTTGGGTAGTTAAGTTGTTTCCACCTTTGACTATTGTGAATAATGTTGCTATGAACATTGGTATACAAATATTTGGTTGAGTCCTTTCTTTCAGTTATTTGGGTATATTCCACACCTGAAGTGGAATTGTTGGGTCATTGGGTAATTCTGTATTTGATTTTTTTTTTGAGGAGCTGCCATACTGTTTTCCATAGTGACTGCACCATTTTACATTCTTAACAACAGTGCACGAGTGTTCCAATTTCTCCACAACCTTGCCAACATTTATTTTCTGTTATTTTGATTATAGCCATCCAATAGATGTGAAATGATATCTCATTGTGTTTTTGATTTGCAGTTCCCTAATAAGGAGTGATGTTGAGAATCTCCTCATGTGCTTCTTGTCCATTTGTATATCTTCTGTGGAGAAATTCCTGTTTATGTCCTTAGCCCATTATTTAAAAATGTATTTTATTGATTTCAGAGAGGGAGAGAGAGTGAAGCATTAATGATGAGAGAGAATCATTGATTGGCTGTCCCCTGAACACTTCCTACTGGGATCGAGCCTGCAACCCGGCATGTGCCCTTGACCAGAAGTGAACCTGGGACCCTTCAGTCCCCCAGCCAACGCTCTATCCACTAACCCAAACCGGTCAGGGCTCCTTTGCCTATTTTTTAATTGAGTTGTTTGGGGTTTTTTGTTTTTGTTTTCGAGTTATAGGAGTTCTTTATATAGTCTGGATATTAATCTCTTAATTAGATACATGACTTGCAAATATTTCTCTCATTCTCTGGGTTACCTTTTTATTCTCTCTTTTTTAAATTTAACTCTTTTTTTTGTTTTGTTTTGTTAATCCTCAAACGAGGATATTTTTCCATTGAATTTTAGGGAGAGTAGAAGAGAAACATCGATGTGAGAGAAACACATCAATTGGTTGTCTCCCGCATGAGCCCGATCAGGGCCAGGGTCTGGGAGGAGTCTGCAACCAAGGTAAGTGCCCTTGACCGGAATTGAACCCAGGACCCTTTGGTCTACTGACCAACGTTCTATCCACTGAGCCAAATCAACTAGGGCTGCCTTTTTATTTTCTTGATAGTGTCCTTTGACACACAAGTGTTTTTAATTTTGACGTAGCCAATTTGTCTATTTCTTCTTTGTTGTCTGTGGTTTTGATGTCATAGCCAAGAAATCATTGCTAAATCCAGTGTCATGAAGCTCCTTCCTATTTTTACTTCTAAGAGTTTTACAGATTTAGCTTTTACATTTAGGTCTTTGATCCATTTTGAGCTAAGGTTTAAGGTTTAAGGTGAGAGTCCAATTTCACTCTTTCGTAGGTAGATATCCACTTGTCTCAGCATCATTTTTTGAAAAGTCTGTCTTTTCCTCATGGAATAGTCTTGCACCCTTATTGAAAATCACTTGATCATAAACGTGAGAATTTAGTTATGGGTTGTCTGTTCTATTACTTTGGTCTATAATCAGGGGTCCTCAAACTTTTTAAACGGGGCCAGTTCACTGACCCTTAGACCATTGGAGGGCCGGACTATAGTTGAAAAAAAAAAACTATGAACAAATTCCTATGCACACTGCACATATCTTATTTTGAAGTGAAAAAACAAAACAGGAACAAATACAATATTTGTATTTGCATGTGGCCCGCGGGCCGTAGTTTGAGGACCCTTGGTCTATATGTTTGTCTTTAAGCCAATATCATAGCTTTTTTATTACCATCACTTTGTACTATGTTTTGAAATTAGGAAGTATGAGTCTCCTGATTAGTTATCAATTTTTCAAAATTGTTTTGGCCATTTGGAGTCCACATCACCATTTTTAATGACTGCATAGTATAAGTGTTCATTCTCTAATTTATTGGTCGAACATTTGGATGCATCTGATATTTTATTTTTACTGTGGTAAACCATGGTGCAATGAACATCCTGATGATGTACATATTTGCAAACTTTGGTTTTTTTTCTTTAAATAAATCTTTATTGTTCAGATTATTACAGTTGTTCCTCTTTCTTCCCCCCATAGCTCCCCTCCACCCAGTGCCCACCCCACCCTCTGTCCTTACCACCCCCACTGTCCTCATCCATAGGTGTATGATTTTTGTCCAGTCTCTTCCCACACTAGTATTTTAACTGGATACACCTGCAAAGGAGGCAGGGTTTTTCAGAAAACAAATCCAGAGCTTCGCATTTGGAGTTAGGGAGGATATAGATAAGAACAAACTCAAAGGGAAATGTGTTTGCGCATGGCAAGGAGTATGCAACAACATCAGGAAGAGCAGAGGTGGCTCAGGCATTTGCGGCCATTCCAGCACATTGGTGGGGACTTACACTTCACTGTCTCACCATCCACGGGTCTGACGCCGCATGGTGCCAACTAGGAGCCAAAATAGCAAGAGTAATGATTAGCCATATCTTGAACTCTGTGTAGCTAAAGGGATGAGGGTTA